GCAGGGCGGAGTGCCAGGAGCAGGTGAACAAGTTCCCCTCCGCTAGTTTCAAGAAATTCGCCAGCGAGAAGGATGCCTGGACCTTCGTGCGCGCCGGCCTCCTGGGGCCGCAGCAATCCGAGCCCGCAGGTAGGGAGGGAGCAGGGGAAGGAGGGCGGGCGAGCATCCCGCCGGGGTTCGGGGCACGCACGGGGGCTGTGCCAGAGCTGCGGCTGCTGCCGAAACGCGGCACCAGCCCCTGCTCGTTCCTTGCCGCTGGCGCAGCGCCGTGGCGATGGCCTCCGGGCAGGGCGATGGTTGTGCCAGTGCAGTGAAAGTGCTTCTGTGGGTGTTTGGAGAGCGTTATTTGTTCCATGACCGTGTTAAGCTGTGAGGGACGTTGTACGTCTGTTTCGTTTTCGGTTTTATTTAGGATGAAGAATGAGTGGTGTATTTTTTTTTTTTTTCGATAATAATTTTGGGGTGGTGGTGGATAATGGACTAACGTTGCTAATAGCTGCCTACAACTGCTGTCTTTAGAAGTAGTCTCTTCAAATAAAACTTGATTTTGCTGAACTTCCTTTTGTTTTTTTGTTTTTTTTTAAGAAACATTTGGACTTCCAGTTGTAACACAAGAAAGCAGCCAGAGAGAGGAACCAGAATTAAATACCGTTTGTTGCAGTACATGTAAAAGGCCATATGAACAGTCTACAAATGAAGAGCAGATTGCAAAGCGTGTAAAACATGATGAAGTACACTCAGTGTGCCCAGCACTGACAGTCAAAGAAGATAAGCTTTCATATATGGGTGAGGTCTTCAATCATTCCTTTAATTATTTCCATTTGTTTATTTTCTGACAAGCAACAAGTGAAACTACTAGAAAACTTTTAGGGAGGTTTGTTTATGGCAGCATCAGGCCCGTTATTTCTTTTTGAAATGAAAATATGAACCATGATCTATTTGTTTACATTGTCTTTCAGTGTGATTTTGATTGGTCTTAACTGATATGAATAGATAATCATATTGTTAAAGGTGTGATTTTTTGGAGTGACTGGGCTACAGACTATATTTAAATGTTTGGATCTAGCTGGGAAGTTCTGAGGAAGATATGAACTGTAGTGAGAAGTATGGGACTTGGGGAAGAAGTTCTTGAGGCTGACTGGTTTGGTAGCAGTGAGGGTGTCCAGCTGCAGTGGGACCTGTGGTGTTCTGTGCTGCTAATTCACATGGCTTCTGCAGTTACCATTTGGAAGGGCTCTGGGGAGGGAAGTTTTGGGGATGAATATACTGGCAAACATTTATTCTATCTTAAGTAGTCAGTGTTTTTGAAGAAGTGCTTCAACTTTGATTTTGGTAATTTTTTTGTAGGTGACTTTGCAGTTGTTTATACAGATGGTTGTTGCACTGGTAATGGACGTAACAGAGCACGTGCTGGAATAGGTGTCTACTGGGGACCAGGCCACCCTTTGTAAGTAGCTCAATGGTTTTGTTTCTTTTTCTATTAATATGTTCTGTTTGGTTTTTTTGTGATTTACAATACCAGCCTTCTTTTAATATAAAGCTCTGTTGTTGAGACTTATAATGACAGTGTTAGGAGACTGAGTCAGGAGATACTGAGAAGAACAAAGAAAGCAGCCTCTCTGGGAAAAATCAACTGGTAATAATGTTTTGGGAGGCTGAAGCTAGTATTCAAGTAATGTGGCAAAATAGAATTAAAATAGAAGTGTGTGTGCACAGAATATGATAAATGTAATGTCACATTGATGTCAGGTCCAGATATGTAGGTTGCTCTATGCAGGGGAAAGCTAAAGCTAGAATATCCATTCATCCTTTTTTATAAAAAAAACCCACTCTTGTCTTTATTTCTTTTAACGTGCAGCCATTATACACTATTCTCAATACTTGGGATAACTAATCTACTATTTGTTCTTTGGATACAGAAATACCAGTGAAAGACTTCCTGGACGGCAGACTAATCAAAGAGCAGAAATCCATGTAAGTAGCAAATGTCCTGAAATGCATCTCCATGTTAGACTGCAGCTGCATGCAGTAACATGCCTATTTCAACTCTGGTTTCCAGAAACCATTATGGAGCTCTAAGGGAAGTGTGCAACATACTCAGAGTTATGACTTCAAACAGAGTTTTATTAGATTTTACTGGCTTTGAACTAGGTAATTCACCTTGAGAATTCCCAAATGTCACCAAACACAGCTATTTAAAAAGCCCTACATTAGGAAAGTCTGGCTCTCCAATCTGTGTAGATTGTCTTGCATTTTTAATGTGTATGTTTCTGACCTTAGAGTGAGGGCTGCTGAGTATTGGTTAAGAGGAGAGTTAGCTTCTTATGGTGCAGGACCAGAGTATCATAATCCTTAGATAAATATAAAAAACAATTCTAGGCTCCTAACTAACTTCTGTTGGCAACAGCTGATTTAGTCTTCTTGTCTCCTCTTAATTATGATATTGCAGTTATCCTACACTCCATGTTTGGAGATGAGCTGAACTGAAACTACAAGGTTCATTTTGGAGGTGGTATTGGTGTGCCAGTGGTCAGACTTGTCACTAAAGAGGTTTTCAGTTCTACATCCACACCCAACCACTTCTCCTTGTTACATTTCAGAGCACAAAAAAAACAAAAACGAACCAAACCTATTAAGGCTTCCAGACTGTTGGAACTGATATGAATTCTTCTTCCTCAGAGTTTTGGAAAAAATGCCTTGGTGCTGTTAGAGGTTTTGATAGTTAGAAAGCAGGTCAGAGAGCTACTTTTTCAGAGAGGTTACAGTAATAGTCTGTAGTTCTGTGTTAGCATCAGGTACTTTGTTGGTATTTTAATTCCATGTGGTCAAAATCCTTTCTGAACTGTGGTTGTTTTGAAATGTTCTTAAGGCAGCCTGCAAAGCAATAGAGCAAGCCAAGAGTCAAAACATCAAGAAGTTAATAATCTACACTGATAGCAAATTTACAATTAATGGTAAGTTAACAATTGTAATTTTCCTGATCCTTAAAGACACTGCATGCTTTTTCATTATGTTAAGACTCACAGAACATTCTGAGTCCTGGAAAGAGGAATGTAAGGAAGACCATGCATAACTTATCACTCATGACTGCTTGGGTGAAAACTTTGGAGTATCAGACATTGCCTGCTAACAGCATGACATAGAAGTAGAGTCAAAGTGTCTGTTAGAGTAAATACTGACAGAAATAACAGCAGGTTTTGTGTCTTGAGGTGTTCAGTGTGACACAAAAATTAGAAAAAATGCCTTTCATGTATAGGCTGTTAAGGCTGTACTTGGGAAACTACTTGGAAGTTGGTGTGGTAACCTGTAGAGTTTTCGTTGTTTTGCTTGTATTGGAGAAGCTGTCTTTAGCACACACACCTGTGAAGTGCATTCAAGTTCTCTTGGTTCCAAAGCTTTTAGCCTACACTGGAAGCCTAGCCAGATATATGTGCTCAGAGTATGTATTCAAAGACCTGGAAAACTTAATTTTATTCTCTATAAATTCCATATGAAGCAGCCAATAGGACTTAATTTCTGAAAAAAACTTCTTCCTCTTTCCTCAAGATTTTCAGATTTTGTTCCTTTGATAATCTGTAACTGCATAAGTATTTTTTTCTGGTTTTTTTCCTACATTTTACAAAGACAGTACATGTTTTTGTTGTTTCCAGATCACTTTGGAGATTTGATTTTGTGAGGGTTTTTTTGAAATCACATTAAACAAAAACTTAGTGCAACTTAAGGTTGAAAATTCTATGTTGCTATTTTTGCTTTTGTCTTAGTCTCCGTGGTTTTGCATTTTGTTTCTCTCTTCATTTTGCATTTTGGGTCACTGAGGTGCAGGTTCCATTCTTGTTTAACCAAAGTTAATTTGTAGATGTGTCTAGGAGTTACTATTTAAAAATTCCAGAGAAGGAGTCTTACAGTTAAGTACAAATGAATAGAATTTGGTTTTTAGGAGGTTTTGTGGGCAAGATTGGAGATTTCCTATTTGGTTCAGGTCATGAAAGCAGTAAGGATGTCTTACATTGTCCACACCAGCAAAGATATTAAAAAAAAAAAAATCCTTACTTAAGGTGTAATACAGAAAATTCTCTGGCAAGCAGTAGGCTTTGCTTACTGTATCCTCAAGCAAATCCTTAGCTTCAGTTTATTGAAGTTAATGAGAATTTGTGTACTATGCATATGTTAGACTATAGTCTTTAAATTAAACATCTGTTTGGAAAAGCATGGTTGGGTAATTCAGGTAATAATGAAAAAAATACAGTCCTGAAAGACAGCAGCAGAGAACCAATCAATAATTTTCTTTTGTCTTCAGTGTTTTTACCTGAGACTTTGTACAGAGGTAATGAATGTCTTATTAAAAGACTGTTGGCTTCATCTTGATCCTTGCTGGCTTCTTTAATAGCACTCTCATGGTGATACTCTGCTTTGCACAGGTATTACGAGCTGGGTTGACAACTGGAAAACAAATGGTTGGAGAACAAGTTCAGGAGGAAGTGTAATAAATAAAGAAGATTTTGAAAGACTTGATAATCTAGCAAAAGACATAGAAATTCAGTGGGTAAGTTTCTTATTTTTAATGACATCTTTAACATGTTTCTGGTAGAAACTTAAAAGTGCGATCATAACTAAGACCTTTGTAGAGCATAATATTGTACATCCTCAAGTAAAACTGCAATACAGAGAAGCCACTTGTTGTGTTTAAGGCAAATTAGAAACATAACCTAGATTCTTGGAACCAGTATTTCATTTATTTAAATGAGTATTTGTATGTTTCCTGTTTCATATTACTGCTTAGAAAATGCTTGCAGTAGTTATTTTTAGTTTATTAGTGCTGTTAGTAGATGGAATTTCTGTTCCTGGAAATCTAACCTTAGAATTTAACTGGTTTTGTGTCATAGCTGAGTTTCTGTATTTGCTTTTCAAAACTCTTTAGGATGCTGGTTTGTTGGAGTAACTCAGTCACATGAGTGTCTTTAAACTGAGAAAACTGAGTGTGTGTAACCCCAAATAAACTAACTCTACTTTTCTGTGCCTTAACTGTGTTTCTTCTAAGAAAAATTGGTATGAGAAGGTCTTTAAAAGAACAATTTTAAAATTGTTTTGCTCTCTGGTAAAGAAGTAAATCAACTTCTTTACAGGTATTTCTGGTAAGATGTGTTTTTTCTGTAACCTCTAATATCAGTACTTAACACTTTAGGGAATATATTCCTTCACCTCTTAAATTTTAGCCCAATAATGGTATAAGACTTGTTTTGGGAAAATGAGTACAATTACAGGCTGAATGGATTTTCTTTAGTGATTCCTGTTTTCTGTTGAGGAGAAAGTGTAAAATTTTAAAGACCAACTAAGTTCAATTGTTATTTCGAATACTTTAGATAATTAAAAGATAATCCTTTATGCACCGTTCTTAAACCTGAATCTCTTAAGAAAGGTGTGAAGAATTTTATTTCAGGAGTGTATGCATACAGAGTCCTCCATGGGCTGCAGGTGAATCTGCTCCACTGTGGCCCTCCCTGGGCTGTAAGGGGGACAGGCTAACTGACAGTGTTCTGCACCACAGACTGCAGGGGATTCTCTGCTCAGGTGCCTGGAGGACTTCCTCCTTCAGCACTGACCTTGGTGTCTGCAGAGCTGTTCCTCTCACATATTCTCACTTATTTCTCTGGCCACTGTGTAGCATTTCTACCCTTTCTTAAACATGTTATCACAGAAGAGCCATCAGTTTTGCTGGTGGGCTTACTTAGGGGGTAAGTTACTTGGTGGGCTTACTTACTTGGGCTTAGCTGTGTCAAACTGTAGGTCCCTTTTGGAGCTGTCTGGATCTGGCTCTCTCTCATGTAGGGTGCACTGCTGGTGTCTTTTCAGAGTCCACATCTACAGACCCCCACGTGATACCAAAACCTTGCCATGTAAATCTTAAGTCACTTCACACACACTTCATGTTTGTCCCCTCTCAGATCTTGTCAAATAGCAAGCTTGGTTTTCTTCCTCACCTTCCTACTCCACCCTTACTTGTGGCAAGGATGGGCTTAGAGTATAAAGTTTTTTTCAGTTCCTGATTGATCGATGGGCAATTAAGATATCTGAAAATTTAGAGGATCTTTTAATATCCTATGTATGTATCTTGAGTGCTGTAACTACCGAGGCTTTTAGTGGAATAGAGGTCTTTGGCTTTTGGGGAAGGATTAACTCCATTTAAGCACTGAATGCAGGAAGGTGGGAATTTTGAATTGGAGCTGTTGTCTGCATTTCTTAAAGGGTAACTTAGCTGGTCCTTACGCTTTTCACTAATTCCCATAAAGATGATTTTCACAGTTTGGCAAGAGTTTCCTTAGAGTGAGACAGTGAAAATCCCTGCAAAGAAAACCTAAGGGCTAAATAGTAGGTGGGGACCTCTGAGGAGGTGCTCCTGTACTATCAGTGACAGATCAAATTTCACATATCTACTTTCTTCCTGGTTTCTTCCATATCTAACACTCCTATATTTTGTCCTGACAGATGCATATTCCTGGTCATGCTGGCTTCCAAGGAAATGAAGAAGCTGATAGACTAGCAAGAGAAGGAGCTCGTAAGCAAAAGTGCTGATGTTCTGGGACTAGAGGCTTTTGCCTAGTCAGGAAGGAAGGAAGAGGCCTAACATGACAGCAACAACTTGAACTGCTGTAATTATTTTGGAGTTAAACTTCGAGCTGTATTTCTTTCTGGCCTGGAGCACTAAATACAAGCCTACTTCTGGGAAAGAAAACCCCACATTTTCTTCTATTGCATTTGTTTTACAATTGAGACAATATTTAGTTGATGATACTGAGTATTTGTTTTTTTCTCCATCTATTGGAAGGGTTGTGGTCAGTGATTTTAGCTGTCCTGTATACTTAAGAATTCATCTTAAAGACAGGCTTCTGAAGAAGTAATTTTAAATCAAAGTGTTCTGTATTTTCCTCTCAGTGAAATAAATTATTTTTCTTTTGTACAGAGGTATATATTGCAGCCCAAAATAGCTGGGGCTGGAACAGACTTTGGGGTTGGTTTATTTGGTAGGACCTAACACAGAAGTCCATTGGTCTGCTCTAGCATTCTGGTACTGGCAGTAACTGCTCCACAGATGGGCCTGTAATACTGACCTGTGTGTGCCTCAGTGTCGGCTACAGCATCAATAGCTTTCTTTTATCATGTTATTTTGCAGGGAAGCATGAACAAAAAAAAAGCCAGGTCACAAAAAAATTTGAACAATGAGTTTTTACTGTTCTCCCTGATTCATGTCCAAACTCTACGTCTCTGGCTTCCTGTTTCCATTAAGTACTTTTTTTTATGCATACTGGTTCTTGTTAGCATTGTTAGTTTCTCTTCAGTGTTGTCCCAGAGGTGGTAATTGACCATTTAATCTGAAATGGGACTGGAAGATAAGTTCTCCATACCTTCCGGATCTCAAGTGCTTGACTTTATTTTTTCAGTCAATTATGAGATTAATGGAATGGCTAATGTGCACTTGAATTGGAGAGTAATTACCAGTAATCAACATGGGTTTATTTTCTATACAAGTATACAGGGAAAAAAAAGCAAACAGGTTTGTTGTGTTGTCTGTGTCAATGTCTGTATATAGTACCTTCATACCACTGAATAGTAGGGCTTAAGCTGGGAGTCACTGGAATGTTTATGTATATTTCTATACAGATGGTTGGAGCTGCAGAACTTTGTTATTTAATAGTTGTCATGCATTATAATATGTTTCTTGAGGCAAAGTATGAGGTTTTACATATTTAGTCACATGCTTGTAGTAGGAGGAGGAAACTGGCTATCCAGTAGTTAATAGATCAGTGAGGATTTTTATTTTTTTTTCTCTCATCTGAAACTGCACATTGAAGCTCATCAATAGGGGTAAGGAGGGGACTGCTTGGGCCCCCTCTGCTTCTTTGCATATATGCACACAGTTATCTCTTCAGAAGTTTGGCTGCAAGGAAAAGATCCACCACCCTGATCAGATTTCTAGTAACTTACATATTATATATATTTACTGCACAGAAATCAGTACTTTTTTTGAAGCAGGTGCTTTGGAAAACCTGTAAGATAGTAAGTGGGTAAATCATAAAAACCATGTAATACTAAATTTAGGCCACTTGGTTGTCTTAATCTAATAGGTAGATTATAATAGAAAATCTAATGGGACAGTTTTATATCAGTTTGGTATGAATGTTTATTCTTATTCTGGAAATTCAGGACAGAAGACAGCCAAGATAAAGGTTACAGGATTAAGGCTGATTAAAGGATGGAAAGCAAATAGTACTTCTTAAAAGGACTTGAGAGTCTGTAGAGGATGGTGGATGTCTAAGTCATTTTTCAGAGAACTGCATCTTGAGGAGAATATTGGCATTTAGCAGCCACGACATTCAATGCTGGCTGTCCCAAAACAGCTACTCGTCCTCCATGTGCCTTAGCACAGCTTCTAGCACACCTAAAGCTTCTTGAGCTGCTTCTATACTTGTTTGATAACCAGTAGTGCTTAAACATAAATACAATACCTTAAAGGGATCTGGTACCTTTTTGTGAGAATTGGAATAGTAGTGGTTGAGACACTTTCAAGAAACTTTTTAGGAAGAAGAATTCTAAGGTGGGATTGTTTCAGTTGTCTGGCTATTCTTATATTGTGTTTAGCCAGCTGTTGGTTTATTTGCCATGTAGAATCAGGCAGACACAGAAGTGTGGAGGCAGGAGGGGACACACCCGGGGAGGATGCTGAGGATCTATCTCGTGGATGGAGACAACACAAGTTTACCTGTGCAAGCATGTCTAACCACATTATTTATTTTTCTTCTAATTTCTTTTTTATTTTTACATATTGTGGGGTTGCAGTGCAGGCCTTTAAGCGTGATACGTACCAGTAAGTTCTGTCAGAGCATTGCATCGGGGGCCGATGCAGACACCATGGCCGTTCACTCGGGTTAGCCCGGGGGGCAGCTGCGGGTGGGAAGCTCGGAGCTGCGGCCGGTCTCTCGGGGAGACTCGGCTCTCAGCCTGGAACTGTTTCCTCAAACGAAAGCTCCACACGACTCCCTGTTCAGCGTGTTTGGAGCGGCCCATGCCGCCCCTGGAACGCTCTGCCCCAGGCCGCGGGGCGGGCCCGTCCCGCTCGCTGCCGGGCCCTGGA